AGTGATTTTATCAATTTATAGCAATTTATAGCAGTTTGTAACAAGTATATTATATTAAAATATCAGATTCATTTTTATTCAATTATCCCCTTGTTCAAAAAACTTCAAGATAAAAATAAGTTTATAACTCTAAATAATTTTTCTCAAAAAAATTAGTGTTTTGCTTTCTCATACCAAGTTATCATAAATAACGAATTCATATATATATATACATATAAATTAGTTTTATGATTAACAAATATTAAGAAGATCTATTATTTGAATCTATAACTGTAGTTATGTTAGTAGAATACAAAATAAATGTAATTAATATCACTTGTTAAAACACATATTTAATTTGAAGTAAAATCTTTATTATATTTTTGTAAAATAGTATATGAGAAAGGGCTAGGCTAGCAAAATAAAATGTAAAAAATGATAGAGTAGCAGGGTGTTCTAGCCTTTAGTATGCATATAAATGCAATTTCATATATAAATATATGCATTTAAGAATGCATTACACTAATTTGATATGTAATATTGTGTGTAACTATTTAAAGAAGATGAGAATCTATTTTCTGGTATCATTAATATAAATCATAAGATGGTCTGCTAATCAAATATACTCACTCGCCTGCAAAAGATTTTTTATTAAAAAATAAGTCTAAAACGGAAATGTGCTAATGATTCATTATATTTATCTCATTGTTAATAAATTATATATTCTTGTTATTCAAATAAGATTCTTTTTTTTTACAAATAATATCATTTCAATAAGGCTTTAAGCTTTTATTTTTGATTTCTGATTTTATTTATTGTAGAAATAATATAATGGCAAATGTTTTAGTTAATAACATAATAGAGATTTTTTAACAAATTCAATTTAAGCAAAGAAAATGCAAGTTGCAATAATGGCACCTGATATGATAACCAGATACTCTTAAGTTATCTGACCACTAACAAGAAGCACAACCATTATTACTTGAGTTGACACGACAAACTGAATACTCTTTATTGACTAACCACTAACTAGAGCTCCCTTTTTGCTAGATAATTTTAACTAAGCATTAAAGAAAATATACTACTCTTTCAAATACAGCTCTCAAAAAAACAAGTAACTCACGCAGTTTCGAGACCTTTTTAATCATCTGAAAGAGGTATTGAATTCACAATATTATCATAGTAAAGCTTTAAGAATTCATAGAATGAACAGATTTTATGCTCCTTTATGTAAGAGGCAAGAATTAAAAGAGTTAGATTTATTGGTTTTATTAGAACTAAAAAGATCTTTGAAATATAATTTGGATCACTTAAAAAAATACCTACTAGGGTAACTTTGATAAAACTCTTCTTGGTCAGGATCAAGCGAAATATTCTGCATTTTTCTTTATAAACTTTTTGTTTGCTAACACAAGTAGTGTTGCTTTCAAAAAAAAATACTTATTTATGATACTCAAACTCAAAATATAAATCAAATCATTTTTTCGAGTTTTCATATTATCAGGCTATACGTTATATATTTCACACTACATGACCTGTGCAGGAACAATGATTTTCTGGGTTTGACAGAATAGGATTATGAAAATGATGATAATTTTCAAATTTTTAGCCTGATTTAGGATTTGCAGTCATCGTAATTTCTCACAGAATTAACTTATATCACATGCAGAATTGTCAAATTTAAAATAGGTAGATAAACAATTTTATAATTATGAAATAAAAATATAATATAGAAGATAATACAAATTTATTAAATAATCAATGAATTAAGAATTATAATTTATAATTAATATGAAAATTAAAGTTTATATAATTTATAAAATTATGTAAAAATTGTTAAAAAATAAAAATGTAACAATAAATATTATAAATTAAATAAAGAAATATGTAATGATAAATGAAAGAAAAATATATAGGATAATAAAATTTATCTATTAAATATTTTATATACTTTAGATAATATAAAAAATAAATATTTTTATTTTTATTATTTTGTATAATTTTATAAATATAAAAATATCATTAAATAAATTAAAACTTAAAAATTTATATCTTTATAAGATTTATTTTTAATAATATTACAAAAATTCTTTTATTTGAATTTTAATTCTAGTTAATAGAATTATAATTCCTTTATTAAATAATTAATAAAATAATAATTTCAATTAAAAATTTTTTAAAAAAATTTTGATAGTAAAAATATAATAATAAATAAAATATAATATTTATCAAATATAAAATTAAAATAAGAATTTTATAATTAAAAATATAATATTATAAACTTAAATAATAAATTATTATATTTTAAACTTTATTAATATTTTTTTTAAATAATTTTTTTTGTTATAGATAAAGATTACTTATAAATATTTATTTTAAGTGCATTTTCTTTATTTTTTTGGATAGTTTTCATCTAATCATTTTTGAGCACTTTGTACCAACCTCAACTGAATTATGAATAAGAGCTAGTTCTCACTTGGTTAGATAAATATTTAAACCTTTAATTTCACTAATTTTTTATTAAGAATTTAATAAAATTTTGCTATTTTTATAAATTTTAATATAATTTTATTTTTCTTCTAAATTTCACAACTTTTTTAATAAAGTTTTAATATAATTTTACATTTAAATATTTAAAAGACTTACAAAATTTCTAAGTATTATTTAGCAAATTTAATTATAGATTAAAGCTTTGAATAATTTGAATCAATATGAAAAATTTTAATTTATATTAAATTTAGATAAAATTTAAATTCTATAAAAATTAATTTAATAATTCTTAATTTAATCTAGGTTTTTTTAGATTCTAATTTTAATCTAAACTAAAATTTAAATTGAATCAAAAATTTAGATTAATCTATAAATTTCAGTTTGATTTATTTCAATTAAATAAATTAAAATGATCAAAATATTATTTTTATCAAATGATAAAAGTATTATTCAATAGGAATAATTAAAATATTATTTTCTTTAAATAATAAAAGCATTATTAATAAAATGATTAAATATTATTCTAATCAAACAACAAAAATATATAATTTTTGAATTAATCTAGAATTTTTAGTTCAAATCAGGATTTTTATAATCTATAGTTCAATTTAATTCAAAGTATCATTTATAAGATTTATAATCTGAATTGGATTAAATTAAAATTTTGATTTAGTTTTAAATTAACTTATAATTCAGATTGAATTGAATTATTTAAAGCATTATTATAAAATAATAATACTTTTTTTTTTTTTATTAATTTAAGAAATAAATATTAATATATAATGTATTATTTTGTATATTTCAAAATAATTAAATGATATATATAAAAGTTTATAAAATTTTTGTTTTTTATAATTTTATAAAAATTTATAGTTTATTGATTATTAAAAAAAAGTTAAGATTTATGTTTTACTTAAAAAGAATTTTTTTCATTATATATCAAAGAAAAATTTTCTTATTAATTATTATAAGAATCAAATAATATTAATAATAGTTTAAATTTGAATATTTATGATTTTTAAATAATTAATATAAGATTTATTATAATAGGTAAATATATTAATGCTATTGCAATTCAAAACAAAAGCTAGTTAATAAATATATAATAAAAGAATCTTATATAGAAATGAAATGAATATAAGAATTAAAAATCATATCTTTGAAAATTACATAGTAAGATGATTTGTTAGATAAGTTAAAATTTATTGATTTGTAGTAATGAAAAAGACCAGAAGTATCATTAAAGATCATTATGTTAAACTTATAGTTAAATTTGAATGGAATAATATTATGTTTTGCATCTGATAAAGTTGATAACATATACTAAATTTGTTGTCAAATTTTAAAAAAAGACGTGTTAGGAATTACGGAATTAGGTGTCATCAGAGTAAGAATCCTAAACATTTTGCACATTTCACAAAGTAATGGTTTGAAGATAATGGGGTTAAAAGTTCTTGATTTGCAATCCAATAGGCATATTTGGAATGAAATAGATCGTCGTCTGAGGTCGCAATTCAAAAGATTAGGTTGAATTGGGATCCGATATATGAAAAAGTTGGTTGATACTATGTCAACTCGTATAACTGATGTAATTATGATTAAATAGTGCTATTCAAAATGGTAAATAATTATTTACCCTTGAATTTTATTTGATTTTTAAGGATCGTATAAATCAACAATAAAATATATTCTCATTATACAACGATTTTCATATGATTTAATAAATATTTTATATGGCACTGCGCCTTCTTAATCACAAGATTATGCTATTTTATTCGGTAATGCAATACTTTTGAGCGCCACTGCATAATCATATCTTCCATCATCTATTTATAACTTAAATGAACATCTCTTAAAAGAAAGATATACCATGTAAATGCAGAAAGTGGATCAGTTTTATTTTATTAACTGGTAGATCATAATAGAATTGAAAATAATTACTAATTTAACGTTAATTTTGATATCATTTTTTCACTGCCAAGACAAAGCTAATATCCGAGTTATAGTTTTGTCGGTTTTTGATTTTTTTTTTATCTGTGTGACATTTTTAACTTTAATAATCAAAGGTTTACACTCAAAAAAGTTCCGAATTTATTCTTTATTTGGTATATCTGATTTTTTTACACATTATTTTTTTTATTAACATAAATTAGACGAGCCAATAAAGTAATATAACTTATTTCTTTGAATTATAATAAAAAAAAATAAAAATAAAAATAAAAATAAACTACAGGTTTTAAATAATTATAAACAAAAGAATTTTGTATATATAGTGGTTTTTTTTTAAATATATATAAAATAATTAAATAATAATAATAATAATTACAATGTATATATAAAATAAAGAAAGAATATTCCCAGAATAATCTTCAGTATTTATTATTATTAACTTTTTTTGTATAATGATGATGAAAATTTTTAAACAGCAAAAATATATTGAAATAAATATTATAATAATGTCATTTTTCTAGCTTCCCACTTACGTAAATAAATGTAATTTAATTAATTCCTTAACATTTAATTTAAAATTATCAACTAAAACTCGACTTGAAATATTTCCTTACTTTGCATTAGACGAAATTTTGTAAAGTCCAAGAGGTACATCATCATCTTCATCATCTGCTATTGAGTTTGCCGTTGATATTTTTGAAAGGTTTTTATTATATAGTCTGATTCCCGAACTCGAAGCGCGGTTTCTTGATACATTAGCGGGTTTACGAGTACTGGACGGTGGCACTGATTTTCTTTGTACATTTGATGAAACTGAGTTACGATTCTTTGAAGTTGGAGAAGTTGACCTTCCATTGGGTGATGGCCTTTTGCCAGTTGGTGATTTAGATCGTCCATTAGGAGATGATCGAACATAATTTTTGATATTTTTATCTCCACTACTGCTTTCTCCTAATTTATCATCAAATTCAGCACTAGAATTTAATAAATCTCCACCATGACTACTTTCAATCCTTCCATTAGTCTCATCAAGATATCCACCATCAGTTCCATCGGAAAGATATTCATCATTATAATATTGATAACTATGCGCTTTGATTTCTTCTTCACTTTGATAATCATTATCACTATAATCTTCCGCAGTTATCTCTTCATATTCATTTGACAAATATTGTTGCGGTATTTGATTCATGTCATATTGTGGAGCTTTATATGCTATCTCTGCACTAGATCCTGCTCCTTTTCTTGTTAATCCAGATTTCTTTTCTCCTTTTCTTCGTTTGCGACCGCCTTTCTCTTTACCTACCTTACTTTTCACTATCTGTACTGCCATCTCAGCATTTGGATTACTACTTCCTCCATATTCAACTTGTTGTTTATTAATTAGCGACAAATACCAAAACATCATATTGGAAATGAGTACTTGTTCGTGCAATGGGCGTCGTGGATTTGCGAGTTTAATATGTGAAAGACGATATATTGCACGCTCTACATGAATAGGAAGACGGTTATAGTTGGTATATTTTGTTTTCTTGTTTGGAGTGGTTGGCTGTGGTAAAGGTGTAGTGGGATTTGTGGTGGTTGATGAATCCTCCGTTGATTTTCCCTTATTCTGAGAAGGCCATGAAAAAATAGATGAAAGTGATATTTTCTGTGATTTCTCTTTATCCTTTTCTTTAACTGCTGAATCATTATTCTCTTTCTCATTTTTGTCAGATTTTTCAGATTTTTCAGACTTTTCAACCTTATCTGATTTATCTGATTTATTCTTTTTGAGTTTTGATTCTTTCTCTTTCTTTTCTTCATCCTTTTCACCTTCTTTCTCTTTTTCCTTCTTTTTAGGTTTTGATTCTTTTTCTTTTTTTTCCTCTTTATCCTTATCACCATCTTTCTCTTTTTCTTTCTTTTTAAGCTTTGATTCCTTTTCTTTCTTTTCCTCTTTATCCTTATCACCATCTTTCTCTTTTTCTTTCTTTTTAGGTTTTGATTCTTTTTCTTTTTTTTCCTCTTTATCCTTATCACCATCTTTCTCTTTTTCTTTCTTTTTAGGCTTTGATTCCTTTTCTTTCTTTTCCTCTTTATCCTTTTCACCGTCTTTTTCTTTTTCTTTCTTTTTAGGTTTTGATTCCTTTTCCTTCTTTTCCTCTTTATCTTTTTCTCCATCCTTCTCTTTCTCTTTTAATTTTTCCTCTGACCCTCCAGACCATAACCATGACCATGCAGAAGCACGTTTTGTTGAAGACTGTGCTGTTGTCGGTGATGCTGGAGATGTTGGTGAAGCAGGTGGTGTTAAAGCAGTTCCAGATTGTATAGATGTGTCAACTTGTAATAAATTTGATTTATCATGTGATGGTTCCACTTTTAACTTATTGAATGATGGATCTGCATCCGAAGAAAACGAGCTCTTTCTTTGAGGTGGAGTAACGTTTACTTCAGGTCCATTGTCTTCTAATACAATACGTATAGGTCCCATACCATCTTTAACATCAATACAATCAAGCTCAACGTTTTTTGAAATTTCTTCAGGTTCATCAACTATTACATTATTAATAAAGTTCATATCTACTTTTTCAGTCTCAACTTGTGGTAGGATAAAAGGAACTGAAAGAGCGGATTCTGATCTTTTTTTTGGTATTATTTTATCTTCATCTCGTTTTCCTTTATCAGAAGATATATGAGTAGATCTTGTTCTTCTGTGTGCTGAGAATCTTCTAGGATTTTGTTCACCAGCAACAGAATTTCGACGAATTTTTGTACGTGCGGTACGTTTAAGTGCCGGTGCCATTCTTGGTACAAGAATTTTTGAGTCCACATCAGGAGAAGAATGTCGATCAAATATATTTGGATCATTAGGATTAGAAATTGTGCCTCCTTTAAGTTGTTATTAAATGCCACATCATTTACCAAATTAACAAAAAAACAATGGGACAGGACAGTCGGTCAAGGAAATATTTGACAAAACGAAAAATAATTAGTGTCTTGTCAAATATATTATGAATGAATGAATGAATGAATAAGATAAATAAGTCAAAAATATATATCAATTATTATCGTTCTTTTCGAACGATAATATTTGTTAATATATATATATATATATCTCTATCTATTAAAAAAAAAAAAAAACGATGTTTGCTTACCTATAAATGGTGGAAGATTCAAACTTAGACTCCTCCGTAATATATTCAATTTTGTTGATTCAGAGGAATGGTTAACAATCCCATCTGATTCACCAAAGGATTCCCAATCAAATCCATTGCTTTTTTTCTTTGATTCCTCCTTATTATCCGTTGTTTCCTCATCATCTTCAACTTCTGAGGGAATATATTGCTTAGAAAGAGTTGATTTACGCCTCCTTAACGAGGCTAACCCAGAATTGATTTCATCTTTCGAATGATATTTTAACCACTTTCTAAATTCATTTGGAGCTATCTCCGGATGTAAATGTGCTGGTACCCAGAATAAATGGGATGGATTGTCCGTTTCAATGTGAAGTTCATCAGAATTTAATGGAAAATTAGGGTCTTCTTCCTCTGAACCCATAATTGATTTCCTCTTTAGTCTCATTTCCATAAGCCCCGGACTTCTTAATGATGTCTCTGTCGTATCTTCTTTAAAATTTAAATTAGTTGAAGTATCACTCATATCGTCGGAATTATTTGAAGTTTTAGCTTTGATAGAGGTTGCCGAATCTGATGAAGTTCGTTCCTTATGGTCATTAACAGGTTGACCTTGAAATGAAGGTATATTTATTTTAACCTTTTTTTTTTCGGACCGAGGTTTGATTTTAGACTCTACCGTTAAAGGCAAGGGAATAATGGTCGAAGCTTGTACATTTTTATCTTTAGCCGGTTCTTCAGCCGTGGACGGTGTTACTTCTATATTATTATTTTCACAGAGTCCAAAGGCAGCGTCTAACACTTTTTTCGAAAATTCTAATAAATTTTCTTCAGAAGTTTCGTTAACCATTTTTTCATTAAATAAATATTACTATATACAAGTTAAAAAAAGTTTTTATTTTTCTTTTAAACTTATTAATATATATATATTTATATATATATATATATATTTGGCGTATTAACAAATATAATAATGACTAATGTCATAAGATTTTAATTTTACTAATAAAGTAATTTTTGGGCGATATCGTGTTACATTAACACAACTCTTTGATGAAATATCACATGATCTAACCCTAATTTTTTACGGGGATATTACCTAATATATCAGTTTTTTTTTGATTTAAAATATGTTACAGACATTTTTATTGTAGTGATAGGAAATAAATATATAAAGATGACAATTTTTGAAACTTATTCTTAACTAAACTCAAAAGAAATACGATTACTTTTAAAGAGCTTATTACCATAAAACGTAAAAGCAAGAAAAAAAAAAAAAAAAAAAAAAAAAAAAAAAAAAAAAAAAAAAAAAAAAAAAAAAAAAAAAAAAAAAAAAAAAA